TACAGCTGTCATGGCATTATGATATTAATAAAGTTAGGTCGCACAGTGCAAGGCCTCTAAGCTGTGGTACACTATAGGATTGATTGATGGCTCTCTTGTCAGTTCAATCTACAAAATGCATTAGAAGAGAAGAAGGGACGAGTGTAGGGCAGAAGATGTGAGGGGGAGAAAGGGGAGAACAAAATTGATTGATTAGCAACAACGAAAATAGAAGAAAAAATGCAGTGAGGAAGAAAAGAAGGAAAATTTAAAATAATCTGCTAAAAAGGAAAATAAAAATAGTTTTATATATAGCACAAGCTTATTTTATGTTATTTTGCTCAATTCATGTTACTTGATAAGAAAGGAAATGTGCATTAGCAAGGATAACTGAAAGAGATAAGTGAAGGAGAGGTGAACAGGAGAATAATAAAAAAAAGAAAAGATTAAGCAACAATTTGTTTTTCTTTTGGCTTTTCTGTAGCAAAGGGCCGAGTGGGCGGACAAACAATATTTTGTCAGACTGCCGAGTTAGACTGATAACCTTGGATATCTCTGAGTGAAATGAGACATAAATACACTTGCAAGACAATGAGTGTGTCAGTGAAAGAGTGTAATGTGGGGTGTTCACAGGAAAATACACAGTGACAAATGGCACAGTAACAAAACTGACCACACGCAATTAAGCAGTGACATTATGCATCTGACTGCCACCTGTGGAATTTAAGAAAAAAACAAAAATACATCTTACGTTCACTTTACCAAGTGACAGTGTGGCCCCAGTGAAACATGCAAAGATGATATATACACATCGACAAACAAGAATATCTATTGATTCCCATTCTTGATGCATGCATGGAGAAAAACGATAAGCACTCTTGGTCAGTACAGACTTCATTAAAGTTCAGTACACACATATCAGCACAGAGCTACACACGGTGTGCTATCGATTAAGTGTGGACTCTGAATTCAGAGATAAAATCATCAGCAGCCCATTTCTCTGTCCTATTCTACAACGATGCTGTGCTATTGATTCATATGCATTGTGTCTGCACACACTGAACAGATGCACCCAAAAAGAGAAATAGCTGAAACTGCTGTGTCTGTTGCAGGAGATTTCTTTTCACTGTGAAAAGGCAAAAAATATTGTAATCCATTAGCCCATTTGACAGATATTAAGCCCTCATTGCACTTGGCATTAATATGTGTTGCATACCCAAATTACGCTTGGATATAAATCAGTTGGGTTACATTTTGATAGAAGGTTGAATGCTTGTTTTTTTTATGCACATCTAAAGTAGCCTCAGCTTTTCTTTTGCCAAAAAAAAGCAGATTGCAATATCTATCACATCCTTTCATCACCTCATTTAAATCTGGTATTCAAAAGTGTTTTTTTCTTCCTCCATTTAAACAAATATTGGCCTTAAAACTGACATGATTGCTACAGATGCTAATGGTAATGTTGATCTGCTCTTGACTCAGTCTTGGGCACAATTCTGCCTCATATTGATGTACTTCTGCTTTCTCTTGTCACAGTTTATTCATCCAGTATTTTTGTTAATTTAGTTGGAAAAGGGTTCCTGCCATGTAAAGGAAAGCACAGTAATACTGCCGTGTGATGACGCTATTAGATTATAGTTAATTAGAGTAAGATTTTGGATTAGATTAGTTAATATTGGTTTGGTTAAAAAGTTCTGCTGATATCCTAAAATTCTGGCCAAGGGCTGAGGACTTTGGAAACACAATAGCTGTGTATGAGTTCAGGGGCTGCATCCTTCCGCATCCCGGCCCATGTAGACTGCGAAGGCCGTGTCCTCCGAAGACCGAGAAGGCTGGAAGTGCAAGGCTGTTAAATGGGATGGTCTAGCCTTCAGATTTGCGTCACAAGCAGTCTCGGTGGAATTTAATAAACTCAGCCGTCTGCTCCTTGCTATGTAAAGTATAACTGGACACTGGAGTAAATTCCCTACCATCCCACACTTCTGTTCAATCTGTTTTCTTTTTGACGTCTGTACAACTGTGTGAAAACTATAACTTTAATCTCAGCCACACCGATTTACTCAGGAACAAATAAAACACTGAAAAAAGCCAAACAATAACATTTTTAAGTTATCTAAGTGACTTATATATCATGTTTCATCTGATTAGCAAAAGACCGTCTGAAAACGATGTGCTGGGAGTCCGGTTTCCTCGCCAGCTCTCCGAAAACGTCGGAGCACTTTTCCAAATATGTGATGTCTTGATAATGTCTATTGTGTGTAAATGGTTTGGTCAAACCACTATAAAGGTTACCCTCCTGTGTCTTTGTGTTTAGGTCAGTTTGTAAGTTAGATCGTGTCTACTTTGTGTGATTAGGTTTCTGGAAGTTACTTTTGAGTAGCGTTATATTTAGTTGACCTCTTTTATGGGCCCGATTATTATATTTAGAATTTTATCTTTTTAAACTTTTTGGGGTTAAAAAAACCCATTCTGAAGATATTTGTCCTGTGTCCTCTATGCATTTGCTGCTTGGTACACTGGATACACTGGATTTAACTGAATCCAATAAAAAATACTATGAAACGAATAATTTAAATTAAAATTTATCTTATGCCTCATCTTATACTTAGTAATCTTCATCAGCTTGAGGGGCAAGACCATCTAAGAACTGGAGTTTAATCCTTTTTTTTTTTTT